TGTAATGCTATGACACGTGTATACAAATATCTGTATAAGTACCTGCTTTCAATTTCTTTTTTTTTAATTTATTTTTTTATTGCATTTTAGGTTTTGGGGTACATGTGAAGAACATGCAAGATTGTTGCATAGGTACACACGTGGCAGTGTGATTTGCTGCCTTCCTCCCCACATCTGCCTTCACCTACATCTGGCATCTGTCCCCTTGCTATCTCTCCCCAGCTCCCCACCCTCTACTGTCCCTCCCCTATTTGGCTGAGATTACTTCTATGAAACCAAGTTCCATGAAAGCCAATTTAATAAGAAGACCATGTGAAAAATAATTATTTTTGCTGTGCTTTCTACAAATAATCGGGACAAGTATAATAAAAAAAATATATTCTACCATGATGTGTCTTTAATGTGAAATGGGAGAAAAGAAAAATTATGTTTGAAGAACTGTAGCACACCTGTGGCCAGAGTCTAGTATTGCCTAATGTTTTTCCTGCAGTTTGGAACAATTCTAATTTTTCTTGGCTACAAGTCTACAAAATAATGTTTTGAATTTTTTCCCCCATTTTTCCTAATTTGTAGTCATGGAAAACTAACCTATGCTTTCACATAAAGCCCTGAGACCCTTAGAGCTGAAGTTAGACAACTTTAAATGTCAGAAAAAAAGTAACAGCAAACTATTTACACACATAAGCCACTTTTATACCTGCCTACTTGTATATATGGACTTCAGAGTAATATGGTCTGTCCCCACTCTGTATCAATTTTTCCATCATTTTTCTTTTGTTTGTGGTTTTTTCCCTTCTTCCCCATGTTCTCTTCATAGAACACAGCACTTCACAACCTTTTAAAAATGAACTTGTCTAATAACTCATGACCCATCTAACTAGAAACAAACCATAGTAGGCATGAAAGATCAGACAAAACTGACCACAGACTCATATTCTTCTCCAAAAGATTAACAAAAAAAGGTGTGTGTGTTGGGGGGAATTAAAAGGAAAATATCTTAGGTACCTGATATCAATAAGCTAAAGGGAAAGTCAAGCTGGCAACTGTTTACAGCAAACTTGCCTCCATTCTATACAAAGTCACCCCTCTATTTACTGAGTTAAATGTATATCTAATTGCCTTCTTTGGAGAGGCTAATCAGAAACGCAAAAGAATCCAACCATTTGTCTCTTACTTGCCTGTGGCCTGGAAACCACCACCCCCCACCCACTGCAACTTCGAGTTGTCCCACCTTTCTGGACTAAGCCAATGTTCATCTTACATATGTTGATTGATGTCTCATGTCTCCCTGAAATGTATAAAACCAAATTGTGCTCTGACCACTTTCGGAACATATCGTCAGAACTTCCTGAGGATGTAGCACAGGTGCACATCTTCAACCTTGGCAAAATAAACTTTCTAAATCATCTGAGAGTTGTCTGAGATTTTCATAAACTAATAGTGAGTTATTGCTTCATGGGGTCAGAGTTTCAGTTTGGGATCATAAAAGCGTGCTTAAGATAAAAATAGTGGTTTTGGCTGCACAACAACATGAAAACGTAATGCTACTGAATTTAACAAAAATTGTTAAATCATTAATTTTCTGTTTAATGTACAACAAAAAAATTCTAAAAATATACTATTGTCACAGCAGAATCAGATACTAGTGATATTAATGTGATTAATGTGTAAAATGAGGTGAGAATTTTAAACACGTTCTGGAGGTCAATATTAATGAATTATAAATCTGAAACTTAAAACATATTATTTTTCCATTATAAAACTTTAAGTTTTAAGTAAAAGCTTTAAACAAAAATAATTTTTCTATATTCTTTCATCTGAAATAATAAATTGCAATTCAATTTTATAATTTATTTATAATTTTATTTATCTATTTTTTTGAGACAAAGTATTTGCTCTGTCACAAAGGCTGGAGTGCAGTGGCACAATCTGAGTTCACTGTAACCTCCGCCTCCTCGTTTCAAGTAATTCTACTGCCTCAGCCTCAAGAGCCACTGGGAAACAGGCACCCACCACTATACCAGGCCAATTTTTTTTATTTCTGTAGAGACAGAGTTTCACCATGCTGGCCAGGCTGGTCTTGAATTCCCGACCCCAAGTGATCTGCCTGCCTCAGCCCCCACAAAGTGTTGGGATTACACATGTGAACCATGGTGCCTGCCCAAGGATCCATGTTAAGAACAAACAATTCAAATAAATACTTGACAAATATAATTGTGGTTGCAATGCATAACTGTTTTAATTTTTGAAAAAATTCAAACACTCTTATTTCTAACAATTCTATTTCTCCTCATTTACTATTAGGTGTTTTAGTAACCACTGTTCTGCTTAAGATTTTGTTTATTGATTTTCCATGTATCTTTGAAACATTTCTGTAAATTTCTTCTTCTACAGGTTTTTTTTTTAAGAGACTACACTTAATAGAGGAAGACCACTAATGCTTCAAAGGAAAAATCCTCCAGATAAAGTAATATAGAAACATCTTTTCACTGGCTCATTGAACACCTCAGCCAATCAGATAATTTTCTTCCTATTAGGTATCATTCTGCAAATAGTAATAGGCTTAGTTAACATTAAAATAAAAAATTCCAAAAATAGGGTAGACAGAAGATAGAAATTTTATTTCTCTATTAGCAATGCGTGTTTTATATACTGTAATTTTACTTACATTTAAAATATTTTACCAGGGGTGGTGGCTCACAGCTATAAACTCACTCCTGTGAGAGGCTGAGGCAGTCGGATCCCCTTATTTCAGGAGTTCAGACTGCCCCAGCCAACATAGCGAAACCCCATCTCTACTAAAATACAAAAAATAAGCTGTGTGTCATGGTGGACGCCTGTAATTCCAGCTATTCGGGAGGCTGAGGCGGGAGAATTGCTTGAAACCAGGAGGCAGATGTTGCAGTGAGCTGAGATCTCACTATTGCATTCCAGCCTCGGTAAGAGAGCAAGACTCTGTCTCAAAACAATAAAAAATAATAAAATAAAATAAAAGTTTAATGATTTATGAGCTATAGCACTTTAAAAACGCACTGTATTTAAAAATACACTAGACAGTAGTTACAAAAGTAATGTGCACTATTAAAAAATAGCAACAATTGAAAGAGAAGAAGGAAAAACTTACTCTCAATGATTCCTGGAAGGAGGAGGCCTGGTATTGTGCATATTTAGCAATTGTAGTATGAGATCTGTTACTTTCACAACGCCAAATTTTCTTTGTTCCAGTGGGATCCCAGTTTTCATCTGATGGTTGCAACAACTGTGTCCTCACTTCTACCATATGTTCATTGTTAGCTTCCACCAAAGTTTTAGTAGAGAAAAGTCCCAGGTCTTAATAAACATAAATGTAGTTAAAAAATGAAAATTATCTTTGGGATAATATTTTAAGTGCTTTTTTGTTTTGTTTTGTTCTTTTAAAGAAGAAGGTAAAGTATTTTATGGCACTGTATCAGTTCCCATAAAAACCAACTAAGGCCTCTACACAACCTTAGCTATGTGCCAATTTTGCAGAACCATATGCTGAAGCCCTGAATCTAACTGCTATGTCATCTCATCCGAAAAGAATTAAGTGTGTAAAGACTGAAATTTCACTTATTTAATTTCTGCAGATGCCCGGAAATAGTTATGGGGCTATAGTATTTATTAGTAGCATCAAATTTCACCAACATTTTATAATCAAATTTTTTCTATTAACCTAAATCACAATTATGTAAATGGACCAAAATAACAGCTAAATTTAAAAACCATCACAAAATTGCCAGTAACCAATATCACCATCAATATTATTCATATCACGGATTAAAGAAGTGATACACACACTCTCTCTCTTTCTTAGTACTAAAAAAAATTTAAATAAAAATACAAAAAAAAGTTTCTGTCAGTGCTTGAAAAGTTAAAAAATAGCAAAGAAATAGACAAACTTTTTCCTTTTTTTATTTAAGGCTTACCTAACTTAAGAGCTCCAGCAAGGCCACGTATTACTGTAACAGGGTTTTTTGGATTTGTGCAAAATTGATGTAATGGAGGAAAGAAAGCATCACGTTTATTTTCCAACTGCAAAAGCAAAATATTTTGTTATGTCTCAGGTAAGTGACAAATTATACCTCAAATTTGTGTCTTTAATAAAATAACCAAATCTGTGCGTTTTTTCCATCAATCTGGCAATTTAAAATCTGTAATGTATCCTAATCTTCGATATTGTGTTGCTACATATTATGTACTCTATTATTTGTCCTGTTAGGGAAGTGTGGAGATACTAGCTAAAAAAACTCTTTTAAAAAGATACATTTTAAATTTGATTCATTTTAAAAGTGTTACCTATCTCTAATATCAAAACAATTCATAAAATCTTTTAAATTATTTGAGTTGTTCAAAAGTATTTCCCAAGCATATTTTTCAAGTACCTTCTATTACTTCTTAAATAAGACAACAGGTAGAAGTGACATTTAAAGTTTAAAATCAAAAATTTTTAATTTTAAAATTTTTAAATAAAAAATTCGAAAGAATAAGATCCACAACAGGCATATCTTAAATTTGTATTTATTGCCTCAAAGTTTCACCTGAAATATTTACTTTATTCTCCTTTCCTGACTCTTCTAATGCCATTTTCAATAAATTTCAACTAGGTAAAAGATTTAATATTGACCACCTGGCCAAAAAAAAGGCCAACATCTCCAAAATCCTCTCTTGCAGATACAAGATCATTCTAATTACTGAATCTTTATTTTTTAGCGTGATTCTTTAATTTGTCATGGAGAATGAAACAGCTGGGTGAGAAACTCTTCAGGAGAAAAAATAGTTATTTTGATGTAAGCCACATCAACTTTCTATATCAAATGCTTACATTGCTAAATAGTAAAAAAGCTGCTTCAATTCCAATGGAAATTTTATCTCTACCAGTATTTATGTAAAACTTTTAAATACATGTACTCATAATCATTTTTAAATCCTCAACCAGTTTTTTGGAAGCTAGAAAAAGCTCTCTTCATTATGAAAATGTAACACTAAACAGGTGTACATAACTAGAAGCACCACGGTTCAGATTTGAACGATGTTTACCAAAAGCTTACCCTGGAACAATTATGTTTCGCTACTTTCATGCAATGCCAGGCAGTAATTGAGAAGATCTTAATTTTTCTGGACAAAAATCTGTTTGCATACTCGTTTCAACTTTTCTGTCAAAGGTCAGACAGTAAGTATTTTTTGCTTTATGAACAACCCAGTCTCTTTTGCAAACTCTGTCGATGTATTGCAAATGCAATCATAAAGACAACAACTAAATAAGGATGGCTGTGTTCCAATAGAATTTTATTTTCAAAAACAGGTTGATAGGCAGCTTTTAAACTAAGAGCACTCATTTGTTATAAGCCTTGAAATACAAACATGCTTTTCTGAAATATTCAACCGGTGAAAGTCTATGCTCTCTAAGGGAATCTGCCTTGATTTTAAAAATACATCAATTTTTTAAAAGACACATTAGGTAGGATGCTTGATTAACTTTTAAGATACTCAATGGAGACTCACATAGATACTAGGTGTGGGTGGGTTCAATTTGTCCTTTGGCAAGGGCGGGTATGGAGAAGTTGGTGGCCTTGGAGGTGGACATTTATCCAATAAAATGCAGCTATTAAACAAGCCATTTTTACCTAGATTCCTAAAGAAAAAACAAGGGGGTCAGAAGAAATATGTCAGTTATATATTTATTTTAACCAATAGGAAAAAAAAAAAGAAAATCTCAATTAAAAGACAAGCATAGGGCATTCAAAAAACACAAACAGTGCAGGATATTCAGATTCATTAAATAAAAAACTGAGAACTATTAAATTTCAGCAGATGTGATTTCTTACAAATGCTAAACAAAATATACTACGTACAGAGTACATAAAGTATTGACAATATTCCTCTTATTGTTCATTTCCAATTTGCTTTCTCATATCAAACATTAATACAAACTCAAATGTTCTCTTCAATATGTACTACCCTTAAATATTCTCCATAAAATAAAATAGTTGATCAGGATGTGGTTTATATATCCTTATTATCAATCTCCTTTCTGACATGGTATCTTAGTAATTATTTCTAGAATACCATAGTGACAGCTTTCAAATCCAGAAAGCTCATTAGTTTCATCCTCAACTTATTTTCTGTGGAATTAACTAATACTTAACAAGACTCCATTTACCAAACTTCCACATCTTATAATTTTAAGTGATGCATCTAGTTGCTCTGTGTTATACTGTGCATAATTATTACTTAACAGTATTCAAATTTTTTCTCTAATGAAAGATTTATTAAATTATTGATAAATTATTCAAATGTGGTAAAATTACTGCCACATTCCAATTCTTTTAGTATACAAATATAAGAAGAGTATTCCTAAACCCTTAACATTTTAACAAATTCAAAAAACTGGTAAGCCCTTCAAATTATTCAAGCTGTCTCACTTAATTATTAAAATTCTGAAATAATGTATTAAAATATCAAAGAAAGAAGATATTAAAAATGTTAATATTTTAGACAAAAACCTAAAAACTCCATTTTGGAAAGTTAAAAAAAAATCAGTAACCGCATTTATTTCAGAAGAAATTCTGTTTTTATCTAAATATATAGAATAATAAAAGCCAAAGTAAAAACTTGTTTGGCTTTATTTTCCTATATAGAAAAATACTTTCAAGTCAGGCCTCTGTGATTGCTCTAATGAAAATGAAGCCTTGAAATGCAACATATACATTTTTTAAATGTCAACAAAATAGCCCCTAGGGTGTATAATCTTTGTAAACAACTAAAATGGTCTTAAGCATTTTTAAGAATTGGCTTAGAAATGTGACTTCTTTAATTTTTAAATTAAAAATATGCAAATATTTTTAAAATATTTACATTTAACTATTAAGTTCTAAAGTAGTAACTAGATTTCAGTCTCTCTCCACAGAGCATAATGACCTATATATATAGTTATAGTTGATATGTATTAAACTTGTAAATATAGAATTGAACCTAATTTATAAATTCCTCAGAAGTTTTGTTTTTAATAAAGAGAACATACTTGGTGAAGAAACAATTCAAATATTCTCACTATACCTGAATTTATTTGTACTAAATATGGTCAAATGTTTAACTGTACTATAAATTCTTTATACTAATTTATTGTGGTATCAAAAATTTAGTTAAACAATATCCTCTATAAAAACTGAGAACAGGAAGGGCACAGTGGCTCAAGCCTATAATTCCAGCATTTTGGGAGGCCAAACCGGACAGATCATCTGAGGTGCGGAGTTCAAGACCAGCCTGACCCAACATTGAGAAAACCCTAAAAATATAAAAATACTAAAAATACTAAATTAGCCAAGGATGGTGGCATACGCCTTTAATCTCAGCTACACAGGAGGCTGAGGCAGGAAAAGCACTTAAACCTAGGAGGCAGGAGTCGCAGTGAGCCGAGATCATGACACTGCACTCCAGTGAGGGCAACATGAGTGAAACTCCCTCTCAACCAACAAAAAACCACAAGACTACGAAACTTGCATTAACTGCAGAATTTTTTCTTTGTAATTTCTACAGTTTGTAAAAGAAAAAAAAAATTGGATACATTGGAAGCTAAAGCAATTGAAAATACAGATGCCTTTATCTGAAAAAAGAAAGAACAAGATGAGGCATGAGCAAAGGAGCCATGATTCAATCACCAGAATGCTGAAATCACAAATTTAAATTGTAAAAGCTGAATAATGCTGTAGCTACAACTAAGATGAACCAATTTCCTGATTAAAAGTAACTTACTAGGAATATACAAATAAGAAGACTCATCAGAATAAATGGTACAATAAATTGTATCTAACAGTTCTTTAATATATTTCTATTGATTATCAGAGTTAAAACGCAAGCTTTAGGAAGTTACTTACGGAAACTAATTAATATATGTATTTTAAAAAAGTAAATAGTGTAAATAGTATTATCTTTTTCTTAAAAGGTATCTATCCAACCTTAATGGAAAGAGGTTAAGTCTTTTTGTACAGCTATATTTAGGTAATAATCCTACAGACAAGAGAATACTATCTTCTGAATGCATGTGTCCAAAATTCTTCAAAAGAAATAATGAAACTTTATTATTAAAGTCCGTTATGAGAATGAAACAAAATTGAAGAAAAAGCAAATGTTGGAAAGGCTGAAGGGTTTATCTTATCTGAAAGCTTAATCTTAACCTTTACTTATTGAAGACATTCATCAGACAAGATCAGGTGAGAAACCCCATCTCTACTAAAAATACAAAAAATTATCTAGCTGTGGTGGCACATCCCTATAATCCCAGCTACTAAGGAAGCTGAGGCAGGAAAATCACTTGAACCTGGGAGGTGGAAGTTGCAGTGAGCTGAGATCGCTCTATTGCAGTCCAGCCTGGGCAACGAGAGCAAATCTCTGACTCAAAAAACAACAACGAAAAAAGACATTCATCATTGTATAATATTAAAGATGGCTTTTTTGAAAATAATTTACCTAGGTTTAGTTTCAAGTTCATCTACGTAATTTAGCATAAAGTAAGATTCTCTTCAGATAAATACCTCATAAAAAATTACCTTTCCTTACAAGCCTCCTTACTCAGGGAAATTAACTCTCTTACTCCCATATTACTTAATTTATTTGACTCTCAGATTTCTGCCCAGAATAGATGCTATTATCAACTGACTGAATTTCTCATACTGGCTCTTTCTCTACAACTCAGAATAATTTTATTCCCAACTTTAGAATCCACCCTTTTATTCTCTCTCTGTGATTGTTTCTTCTTTCTTATTTTCTCTATTTTATTTTTGATATGTTATCTTCAATACCAAAAAGCTACTTTTATTGGAATAATCATGCAGTCACAGATACTTACAATATTTTACACTATTTACAGCTTTTAAAAAATAAAATTATCCATCTGTGATATTATTTGTCTCTGCGAAGAGGTAAAGTCCTCTTAGCACGTCCAATCCAAAAATAACTCTTTAAGAATGCATTTTACTATAAAGTGAGTGTTCATACACCTCAAAATGAGACACAAGAATCCCGGCTACCCAGGAGGCTGAGGCAGGAGGATTGCCTGAACCCAGGAGGCAGAGGTTGCGGTGAGCCGAGATCGCGCCATTGCACTCCAGACTGGGTAACAAGAGCGAAACTCTGTCTCAAAAAAAAAAAAAAAATCTAGAGTCCATTAAGAAAAAATAATAAATGAGTATCTTTTATATTTCTTAATGCTCCCCAAAGTTGCTGCAAGTATAAATTATATAAAAGCAAGAAATTTTGACTTTGTTTTAGAAGTTGATCAGTTAATATACATTTAATGGCTGACACATGATGGCTTCTAATAAAATAGTCTAAATGCTTGAGAATCTAAACAACACTTAAGACAGTCACAGAGAAGAAACACGTTTCATCTCAGCAGTACCGGAAAAGGAGTTACATAATCATTAGGCAAAAACTGTTTTTAAATTTAGTTTAAAAACTTTAATAAAATCATCAAAGTAGATAAAAAATCTTTAGATTGTCTAGTTATAGGGTATTCATTTTCTGTTAATTTGCATCTAATTTCAGAAAGCTCTTTAACGAATCTAACACAACCAGTATGTTACTGTTGAAATTTCAAACCTTATTTACTAAAAATATAGAGGTAATATAATAAGTGTTTTTGGCATCTGAAATGAACTTCACTTACATTTTATATTTTACAGAACATTTATAAAAGGTAAGATAACTTATTAAGATAAAATTTTATCATATTTAAACTGTATATCAAGTGTGTTTTCCAAGTGGTGCAAATGCTGTATGTAAAAAACTGACCGTGATAATGACTGCACAATCAATGGAATCAATCCCCCAAAGACTGATGGCTTAGTATCAAAAATAGTGTTGGTTTAATATACAAAAAAGTGTTCCTGATTCTTTTTTGTGGGAAGGTATAAAAAGCAATTTTTAAACAAACATGTGAGCCCCCATTCCTTAAAAGAGTAGCACAATATAGCTAGCCTTACCAGACTGGCTGGTAGTCCATCACTGCCCGCATTTTCCCTGTATTTTCTGTCTCTCCTGGACACCATATAACTTCTAGAGTCTGAGAAAATGTTTTTTCAAATGTAAGCAGAGGCTAGTGCTAACAACCAGTAAGGCCTATTCCTACTCTTAACATTCAAGAGGTCTAACCAAAAAGGATATTCCAGGTGTTGCTGTTTCTTATGCAAACAATTAACCAGTGCTATTTCAATTCCCAGAATAAAGTCTACCACACAGAAACTGTCAATCCTAATAATGAATTAAGATTTGTAACACTAGACAAAGACAATCTCTCAGATAAAGCAGTTCACAGAAAAATGTTTTCCATATCTACTACAGTGAAAAGATAAAACCACAATGTTTCCATGATGGCCAATAGGAACAGTTACAGTTTGCAGCTCCCAGTAAGACCAACACAGAATTTCTGCATTGGGACTGGCTAGACAGTGTGTGCAGTCTACAGAGGGCAAGCAGAAGCAAAGTGGGGCACTGCCCCACCCAGGAAGTGCAAAGAGCCCAAGGACCTCCCTCCTTCAGCCAAGGGAAGCTGTGAGGGACTGCAAAGGGAAGCACACCAGCTACCCACACCAGACACTATGCTATTGCCACAGATTTTGCCATCACAGATCAGGA